GGCTTTGGATTGCCTGGAGCGTCAATCGCTGTTGAATTTCGGTGATGTGCCCGTCTTTCAGTTGCTGGACGACACACAAGTTGCTGAAGTTTTTCGATTTTATCGCGCCTTTGTTGAAACTTTCCGTGATTACAACTTCTGGCTAGAGGGCGAGTCATTTGCATTCGCGGAGGATCATGTATTGGAACATTTTCATCTGACGTCGAAGCGAATTCTATTCTATGCCGTGGCTCAGCAATATTGTGGACGAAATGACGCCTGGTATGGGCTGCTGATAAATCGGAGCTTCATGAATATGCCACAGTTTGAAGCAGCCTTCGAGTGTGATGCGGAGGCACCGATGAATCCGTTAGTCAAGTGCATGATCAATCACTGCGACTAATGTACAATAGTTAGTACTAAGTACTATAAGGAAATTTATGTTTCTTAGCTTAAGTGATAACTGTTAGAGAAAGGCACTTAGTCAAATTGGAGGATGATAAAAATAAAGTAGTGTACAATGAATACAATGAAAGGCGCTATATATGTATCTGGTTGATACGAGTACAAATCCTAAACGTATAACTCTAAACTATAAATGCACAGGTATGTCATAACAAGAGACAGTGTGACCTGAAAGGTCTTTTGCATCTCACCCGCAGAGTAGCCTAATTTCTTCTTCTTTATTGGCGCTATAACCGCCTAAGCTGCCCTGAGTCCAGCTAACTAGTACCTGCCATTTTTTAACCTTCACGACGAATGGGTTCCTTATGCCACAATGGAGGTAAGTGAATGTCCGCTACATCCCCAAGGTCGAGAGAAAACCAGCAGACGAACCAAAGTCATGCTCACCCATCAGTCGTACATCTTTTCTACTAAAAGCCCTCTGCTATGGTTCATCGTTGTAGACAAACTTCTCTGCCTTTTTTGCTAAATTAGCTTCGATGTTCAGGGCTATGCGGACGATATTGTAGATTTGAAGACACTATCCAAGCCCCTACTAATGCGCAGAATACAGTCGTCAATAGTACGGATTAAACGTAAGTCCCAAGAAGACAGTAATTTTCTGCAAGAAAAGAAATAGAGAAAAATTACTAGAACTGTTCCTTCAATTCTTCTTCTCTAAAGAAGTAAAATATCCGGGACTTATGCTTTATGGCAGGCTCTCATAGAATCCGCGTCTAGATAAAGCTATTCAAAAGGCCAGGGCTTTTATCTGAACCTGCCGGAACTGGGGTACCAGACCTAAGCTGGCAAGGTGGATGTAAAGTATTTAACATTTTACGTAAAATGTGTGATTTTCCTTTGCCGATTAAGAATCTTTTTAGTGTAACGCTGCACATACTTACATACATATGTATATACATTGGGGTGCATCACTATTTACCCTCTTCAGACCGTGGGCACACATATGGGCACCTTAAATTATTTAAATTTATTAACAAGTAGAAACAATTTGCGGTCACTTCTGGTACTTTTGTTACTCCCTATGAGCTTTCAAAAATAAAAAAATGTATAAAATAAATATAAAAAATTAATTTAAAAAATGTTTCTGTTTAGCCTTTTATTTTGAAAGTGGCATAAGTCACTTCATACCCCTTGTACTTTAATGACCGGTTACTTGATGCATTCAGTCAAAAGTAAACGGTCGTTTAAGCACAAGATGTATGCCACTTCACTTTCAAAAAACACTTGCCCCTAAGGTAAAAAAATCACAAAATATTCTACCTTATTCGGTCCATGTTTAAAGGTCCGTTTAGCGTTGCGTTGGCGTTGGCGTTAGCGTCGCTTGGACAGCAGCGCGAGTACCGCCAGTGCTTGCTACAATGAACGCTTAGCAGCGAATACTTTGGTCACTAAATAAACATACTAGCGGCAGATAAATCAAAACTTTATATCAAGAATTGCATTAAAAACGCTATTTCTTGCCCGCATTTGATGAAAAAGGAAAATTATTTCACCTAATTTTGATTATTTGCAACAGCTGACGGACGACGCACGCGAAAAGTTGAGAGCCATCTTTATATTTTGTTTTTGTGTTGGAGTATGCATTCATAGTCAGCTGTCGAAGCGACGCGAACGCCAACGCAACGCCAAAGTTGTATGTAAATGGGCCTTAAGGTTGCAGACAGAGTGGAAGGGAAGCCGAAAATGGAGATGAAGACGGATCCGAAGACGAATTGTTTGCGTTGCGGCCAAGCTAGCGAGTGTTCATAGTGGAAGATGAATGATATGAAGATTTGTTTCTAAATAAAACCTTTTTTTAGATAACATCAAAAGAAAATAAAGAAAAAACAGCAATTCATGATAATTTGTATAGGACAACTTTGGGACAATTTCGCCACTTGTATTATGTGTTACGGCAAGACGGACAGATATTTTCGAATATAAAAGAATGCCAATTAATACGTTTGATTACATTTGCCAAAAATTTAGCCAATTTCTTGAAAAACGCGTTTTTTCACAATTGCAAACAGTTAAATAAATTGTAAACAACTCATCACAGCAAGCGACTCGTCTTTGAAAACAGTACCGCACAGTTTCAAGCTGCAACGCATTTAGCTTCGTCTTCGTCTTCGTTTGCACTGTGATCACTTTCACATGTTTACTACTGCATTGTTTTTCGTCTTCGGCTTCGTCTTCATTTTCATCTTCGGCTACGCTTCCACTCGGTCTGCAACCTAAGGGCCGGTTACTCAATGTCTGGTTAACACTAATCTCCGGTAAAACATCGTTATCGACGTTACCGACTCCATGTTATATGCATGGAGCCGAACACGTCGATAATGATGTTTAAACGGAGATTAGTGTTAACCAGACATTGAGTAACCGGCCCTAAGTCTCAAAGGCTTAAACAAAATTGATAAGGGTTTTCCATTGGAATTATAAATCTTATTATCTTTTAAGCCTTCTTTTTAGAAAAATATTAAGAATTACGTGAGCTAGACTGAGTTTTTTTTTGTATAAACAAAACTAGCTTATTATTATTATTTTTAAATACCTCAGATGTTAGAAGAGTTTAGACTTAAAAGTTCTGCAAAAAAATGTTATCGAAAGAATCGAAATAATGAGTTTTTTGGTGGTATTTTCGAACCAGATCAGGTCACCTAAATCTTAATACATATTTTTCCGAAATGTTTTTTCGGATGTCTTAAAATAAGTGCAATAAATTGTGTAACTCCGGTGGAGAACTCGAAACGTTTTTTGTGAGACACCCTAATGTAAGTATATTCTCATACATATTCATTGATATACGTAATATTTACCTATCCATAGTCCAATTAAAACATTTTTATT